GGGTGGGTGGGACCCAGGAATGACTGAACTTGCTAGTGTAGATGGCAGGTGGCTTGTGCTGTGGGAACAGGGAATTTAATGGGAAATGTGAGGTGTTTTCCTGTTTTTTAGATTTTGGAGCTGCAGGTTCCCCTGAATGTCCCTGTCAACCTCAGTGCTATGCATGCATGGCACAGACTTCAGGTTCCACACTCTGATGCAGGTTGGTATTGGGAGCACCATCAGCCTGGCCCAGGGGACCCTCTGCATGTGCAGCTGTGCAGACAGATGTGCTCTCAGCTGGGAATAATGCTCCTTCCTCCGTGGGCCTCCTGATTCCAGCTCCCTGATGGCCCAGCCTCCTGGCAGACCCAGCAATCATGCCCCAGAGGGAACTTCAGGCCTGGTTGTGCAAGGGCAGTGACCTGTGTCCTAGGAAGAGGTTTGACAATGGGATACAGGTGACCCTGGGCACTGCTGCTCTTGGGGAAAGAGATCGGGGAGAGCTTTTCTCTCTATTTGTTGGTGCAGGTGTGGCTCAGGCCTGCCCATATCCTCTGTGGGTGGCGTCTGTCCTCTGTCCTCTTGTGGTCATTCTGCTTTTCCCCATGAGTGATGGAGGTAGGAGGGGACTACAAGGGACCCATGGCCAAGCAGGTTCTTCCCAGCCACAGGGGACTCTCCAGGCTCCATGGTGATGGGACAGAGGGTCTCCTCCCTGATCAGGATGTGCACTAGAGCCTGTCTCCATCAGGGACAACAGGCATGGAGGTGGAGCCCACAGGGCCATTGGTGCCCAGGTGAAAATCAGGCGACATCTCCATCTCCATCTCCAGCCAAAGCCACACTCCTGTCTCAAAAGAATCCCAAGGTTGAATGTGACTGTGAGGCCCATTGTTGCCCCTGAAGATCATGAGGAGACCCATGGCCATTGTGAAGGACTGTAGCAGGGATGCTGCCTAGGGTCCAAATGGTGACAGTTGGCCCTGACACTGGGCCCAGATGGCTCTGACCTACAGGCTATAGCAGAGGTCCTGTTCACCTTGGGTCCCCAGGGAGCCTGACACCCAGTGCAGGGTGAGTCTAGGGACAGGACGGGGTTGTCCTGAGGACTCCTGCTCAGAG